TGTTGCATATTTAATAATAAAATTGCATAGCTTCCTCTGATTCTGCGGTTACTGAGTTGTATCATTTCTTATAATCCGGCTAGAGTTTTGATGCTACAACGTATACTAAGCTGACACAAATATCCTTCATCCCAGTGTGATACACCGTACATTGGCCGTATCTCCCAACCAGTCCCATGCATAGTAAACAGTTATAGATATGGGAGCCACTATTTAATTCGTAACACATTCAAGTTACTGATCTTTCAAGGTGACCTCGCCCAATGAATGCCTAACTCTATGATAGAAAAATAAGTGCAGTACTTCAGAAGTGCTTACAAGATGGTTAGATCAGATACCAGAAATTTTTTGCAGAAATCAATGATTAGGTGTGCACAGTCATCAGAAGCGTAGCGAAGAAATACACTCAATCTTATATAGATACATTAACGTCGTGATAGTACCAAAAGTGACTCATATTGGCGTTTGTTACCATGACTTTTGATATACAAGTAGTAACTTTACCAGTTATACCACCAACAAATAACTAGGCAGTTACATGAACTTTTTGACCACTTCCTACGATTTATCGCTAAGTGTACGTGCAACCACATGTTCCTATCTATATTTTAAAGGCGCTTTGTACACGGTAGATTTTATACTTAGGAGTACTAATTACCTTCGATTTCGGTGGTCTATACATGATTATACAATAAGATAAAATTGTTCGCGTACTCAAGAATGAAATCGTTTAGCTGACAACAGATCTACACCACAACCTTACACACCTTTCAGAGATGTTATAAGAACGTTATCCATATTTATATCAGGTCATATGAATATGGGTACTAAATTATATCCAGAACGTTATCCAGTAAACAATACTGTTGCACTATGTGATATTTCTAATGAAAAACTAAAATGAAATTACAATCTACTATAGTGCCAAAGTTCTACTCCTATATTAAGGAAGATGGTTAGATGCCTTTATTCTACTAGAGTTGTTTTTGTACAAGGCTCTTAGAATGGAAATTTGAGGGTGCAGCCTTGTTCAATGAATCAAAAGCGTAGCTCTATAATCGAGAAACACAAATACCATATACGTGGAACACTGCCTAACGAATTCTCTCTCTTTTTATCCCTTGGGTTCCTAATGGAACATAGGACTTCAGTAGCACGTCTCCATTTCACTCTCTTCTCTGAAATCTTTAGAACCTCGCTCCACGACAGTCCACAAACTCTCATTCCTCCCTCACACCATCTCCTCCATGTCACCCTCACCTCACACGCCCAACTCGTCGTTCCCCATGGGGATTCCACTCGAGTAACTGGCCTCACGCGTGATGTCCACAGTCGGCTTTCTCAGTGTATGCCCAATCCATCTCCACTTCCTTCCAATGCATATTTGTTCAGCGATAGGTTCTTGCTTCGTTGGTTCGCTGCCCGGCCAGAGTTCCTTGTTGCTTATTCTGACTATTCTGACCATCTGATATGATCTTCAGTAGCGAGCCAGCGTAAGCAGTTCTTGATGAATGTCTGTAGTTGGCTAGAAATCTCTTTCGTAACGCGACGGCAAGTCTCTCAACCATCACATAGAAGCACTGACTTGACTGAGATTGGTGTTGAAAATCTGGATCTTGTTCACTCTCTGTGCTGAGTAGAGTGCAGAACATCTCCACACTGGTTTCAGGCTAATGAACGCTTGTCTTGCTTTTCCGATCCTGGCTGGCTTTGACATCCTCGTCTGTCCTGCCTGTAGTTGAAACAGTGCTGCCTAGAAAGTTGAAAAAGGCTACTTCCTTTAAGTTTCTCCCATTCATGGTGATAGTGATTGGAGCTTGTTGTTATTGTTGGTTGGATATCTTCATCGCCTCTGAACGAATCCTCTACCCTAACCCTAAACCGTACTCTTTTATCGGAGCTAAGATTAACAAACCCCTGGTAATTCATGAAGAATGACGACAACCAATATTTTCGATGCAAATGTTAGCAGCTGCCTATCTCACCTCTATCCCTAAAAGAGCTAAGGTTAAGTTGTTTTGGTCAGGTGCCTTGTCATGCTTTATTTTCACCCCCATGGCTTGTTAAGGTAGGTTGGTGCTACCTGACTACGGAATATCACTGGTAAACTAAGTTAACTGCTTAATGGATTTATAATCAACACTGTAATCACTATTTGCTAGAATGGAATGAGTGTAAAGAAATTGTCAGGAGTCTGTGGAAACCCACTGTTTCAATGAAAGCTACATTGCTGTGTTCACTATCTTTATGACACCTTTTATGTGTTAACAAATGCTCATCTACACTTTTTAGGGGTTGGAAAACCAGATTAGAATTTTCTTCACTTGTAATACTAAATGTAAATAAGTTGATTAGTGTAATTTCCGATGACCGCTGAAACATCAGATGAACGAAGAACATATTCAGACGTGATTAAAGTTGAAAGAATCCTTTCCGAAAAGAAAAGTTGTCTGGAATATATCTCTACACCATCAGTAATAAAATGTATATGTGATCAAGACTACTACTGATTGTAACTTTAGTTGATTGCATTTTTCATTACGTCACTATCACAAATGTGACACCAGCTGATCAATGATTAATAATGTACTGAATAAAATCTATGGAAAATATACAAGGGATACAACACAATAAGACCTACTGGAGTCAAAATTTAATGGTAAGCGGAAGATGATAGGTACCACAATGATGATAATGATTATATCAGAAGTTTATGTTGATCTGCCACTAATTAATCCTTGTTAACCATCTACAACAGTGACGATGAGATACACAACCAATGGATAAGTAAGAAGAAAGTTACACTTCAAAGAATATGACTATAACGCCTCATTTCATTCAATCATCTTTCATTTATGCAAGCTTTAAATTACATGATACACAGATCAAATGTGAATAGAATGAAAGGTTATGTAATTTCTAAGGATAACTACACTTTATGTTAATGATGGGTTATGGCTACGAGTGGAATCCAGGATGCGCATTTCGTCCTATTTGGGACTCTTCAGCTGGACGTACGGTATCATATTTAAAAAAAACAATTATACTAATAACTACACTTTACTTAGTGAGTTTGATACAATAGTTAGTCTATATATCTAGTAATGATGAGCTTTCAATTTGGCTAAAATTCACATCTACTACTCAACCTAAGAAGACTATTACAGATGAATATCACAAGAGCCGATAAATTTCGCTTTTGACAACTTATATATATAGACGATGTATGGATTCCCTGCCACTGGAACTGTAAGTAATAATAAAGTTACAGACGGGAAAAAAACCATTTTCCTATCTGAAAAAGCTTTGTAATCGTTCGGATTTTAATCAAGATATGGGCACCCATAAGTGAGGACTACAACCTAGACAGGTAATCAGCCATTAGATAGCTGAATAGTCATTTATTCAGTTAATAAAGGATAGTAATTACCTATTCCAACTAAGATTATACAAACACTTTAGACTAGATACATTTTGAATGGAAACAACAACAACAACATTATTCACTCTTGTTTCAATCTCAAGATCAAAGAGGAAAAAATTGGTGATAAAAGTATAAGAAAAAGAGAAAGCACACATACTACTCAATAGTAGAGGTAGTAGTAGCAGTAATAGGGATGAGATGAAAAGTAATGATGAATGAATTGTAAGTAGTAGTGTTATGATAACAAGTGTATTTATACAACAGAGATCATAACAATTTAGACTTCCAAGAACCCAATAGATAACTGTCCATATACAAAGACATACACACACACACACACACACACAATCATAATCATGTGTACAAGCCACCTTTATAATCTCTCTAGAAATTGTTATTTATGACAATAAATTCCCCATGTAAACAACAAACAATAATAAAATTTACAGAAATCAAAAGGAAAACTGTTGATAAAATTTACTCTTACATACTGTCAACAAGAAATAAAAAGGTGACAAAGTATACAAATGTTCGAGTATTACCTTTGTTATGTATGGTGTATACAACGAATAATGATTGGTGAAAATATAAAGATATCGACACCGAACCTTGTTTGTTTAATAATTAGAGTTAAAGTAAATAAGCTAGCTAGATGATAAACTAGTAAAGGAGAGGGAAGATAAAAATGAGACAATAACAGTTCAATTCTATTGTAATAATGATAATATTAGACAATAATTAAATAGATAATAATGATGTAGTAATCATCAATCAATTAATTTAAGAAAAGGTAAACACTTGTATACACAAACAATATGAATTAACGATATTATGAATGGATTATTACCGGTCATTTGAATGGTATTTCCAGTGAGTAACAAAAGAAATAATTGGATACATGGGGTATATATTCATGATTTTTCGATACAACTGATTAATACCGTTCTACACACACACACACACACACACGCACACACAAAAAGATAAACATACATTCCACGAGCAAAGTACTTATATACTAACAGGATAAGGGGCTGTTTTCTTTTCAAAATCATCATCGTTACATCATCATCATTTATTGTAATGCATACTGTTTGTGTAAGTGCTGCATATACAATGGATATAAACAATAATAAATAATAACGAGAATAATAATAATAACAATAGATACGATTAAGGAGAGAAAAAAAAACCAAAGAAAGACTGAAAAAGTGAAATGTTAATTACACATACACCTTTTCCTGGAGTAGACAGTAGTAGTATAAGTAATAGAATATTGAAAAAAAGATTTGATAGTAAGCTGATGATTGCTTTCCTAGCAAATTAAATGTATACCTTTAACACACAATCACAAATACAAGTCATTGAAACCTATTCAAATGCAGTAATAATTAAGATGAGAAATAAAGAGGAGACAGGTAAATAAGATGATAACAATACAGACTATTTCAAAGAGGAACAAAAGAAAAATATAATTGATGAGAGAAAAAACAACAACAGATAACTGGGAGGAAAGTATTCAACACTATTAAGTCTTCATTGCCACTACAATTACATCAATCTAAGAATATATCAGTTACTCTTCTGTAATATGACCACGTAGACTACCTATTTTACGTTGCTTCATAGGAGAAATAGAAAACAAAAAAAGAGAAGGGTAAACATTAGTAATAATCAATTAAAAATGAAATTCATGTAGTTTTCTTGTTTATTTTTTTTACCAGAATAGTTACCATCAACAATGTGTGGAAAAACGAGACCTAAATGTTAAACTAGTGCCCGGATACAACTTTCAGAAGCCGCTTCTTTAAAACTAACATATAACATGATATTAATGATGGATCGTGGCTGGCAGTGGAATCCAGGATGCGCATTTCGTCCTACTTGGGACTCGTCAGCTGGATGTACCTGCTTCCCAGTGAGTGATGTTGTCACCACCGGGATTCGAACTCGGGGGCGATCGCTCCAAACGCCAGCGAGTTATGCACTACACCACTGAGCCACGATAACCACTTCTTGTGAGACGGGTATAGTTTTAGTATAATTGTTTTTATACCATACCGTTGTTGATTGGACAGAATTGATCGGTCTCTATTGGTATATGGGTTCCTGTATGGATGCCTCGATATTGCCTGCGTTCTAATTATATCAATGATCGATAACGTGCTGGCGTTTGGAGCGCTCGCTCCCAAGTCCGAATCCTAGTGAGAACAACATCACTCACCGGGAAGCAGGTACATCCAGCTGACGCGTCCCAAATATGACGAAATGCGCATCCTAGATTCCACTGCCAACCACGATTCATCACTAATATAATTAGAACGCAGGCAATATCAAGGCATCCGCACAGGATTGATTCCATATGCTAATAGAGACCGATCAATCCCATCCAGTCAACAACGGTATGATATAAAAACAATCATACTATAACCTGGTGTTAAATTTTTCGAGTAAACGTTGTTGATACTGTTTCATAATCACAATCCAAATAGATAATATAGGCTCAAACATGTTGGCAATCAGCCTGAACACTATAACTCAACAACTTCATACTACACACGAGGAATGACAGCTGTTGTGAAGGCTAATAATACTATCTACCTATTTGAACATTATTAGACGAGATAAATTTCAAATTAATATCCAATAAGCTGAAATTCATATGCTTAACCCATATGATTATTCTACAACCACCAATGCTCAATAATGACACTGAAAAAAAACGGAATAATTAACATGACTGCTAACATTCACCACATTATAAGTTTTCACTTGTAAAATATGCACCAAAATGCTCCACATGGTATTAACAACGTTTTAAGTACTTAAATCATTATTTAACAAATGCAAAACAATAAATTGTTTATTGTTATTTGTTGATATAATTGTTATCCCCCGTTGTTTTATTGGATCGAATGTTCGACCTCTATTGGCATATGGGCTCCTATGCGGATGCTTCGATATTGCCTAAATGTTAATGATGATAATTTACTTGGTTGTGGCTAGAAGCGCAATCCTATTTGGGACTCGTCAGCTAGATGCATCTGTACCCGAGTGAGTAATGTTGTCCCCACTGGAACTCGAACTTCGTATCCATCGCTTCCAACGCCAAGCTGTTATCCACTATGCTGGAGGCATAGGAGCTCATATGTCAATAGAGGTTAAACAATTACACCCAGTAAAATAATGGAGAACTACAAGCACATCAAAAAATAGTAATAACTACTACCCATGTTACAATAGTTGGCTATCATGTTCCCCTAGTCTAGTGGATAACGCCTTGGCATTTGGAGAGATGGGTACGAGGTTCGAGTTTCAGTGGGAACAATATCACTCATTAGGGTGCAGGTGACTCAAGCTGAACTGTCTGCGCTATAATTTTAGAAGAGAAATTCACCAATTACTTATAATGATTTAATAAATAAAATAAACCAAGTGAATAGAGTTTGTACTTCAAAATTTAGAACAGAGCACACACTGCTGTAAGGTAAGAAAATACTTTATATACTTTTACTTCATTATCATCTGCTTGAGGCCTGTTACACTCAGCTTTTTGTGTGTGGTTGTTTTGGGACCGGATAGTCGAAAGGAAACGACAAATGAACCAACACCACCGGCCCGGCAGACCGTGGGACATGGTGGAGTGTGTTATTTTTGAGGTCGACCTTTTCTAACCACCTCCCCCCCCAAACTTCTAATGAGAAAACAGCATCAGCATGGCACTGCTGCTCACCTTACTGCTGTCACACTCCATCTAGCTAACGGCAGTACGACTTCGCCCTCAGATCCCCATCACGGTGTAGTAATTTACACTACAACGGTAACTGCTTTTCGTCTAACCACTATTTAACAGACCTTTCTGGTATGGTAGGACCTCGAAAGAATAAGCGTTCCATCAGTATAGCTGGTTGGGTCATTGTGATATGCAAGCCCAACCACAACGTCAAAGTAGCAGCGACTCAACTACTTAACTATGTATGTAGACTACACCATTAGAATTAGGAGGATATTTTTTCTGGAACGACTTAATTATTCACAACCGAAATTAATAAGCATCTATATTTATTTCTACTCATAGAAATATATCAATGAAATTTTCAACGACAGTTTCAATGAACAAAGGATAATTATATATCTGAAGGAAATCTTGCAGGCGAAATACACTAGATTTATTGATATGCTTTGTTTTATTGGATAGAATTGTTCACCCTCTATTGGCATGTATCGAGGCATCCGAAAACGAGCCCATGTGCCAATACAGGTCAAACAATTTGATCCAGTAAAATAACGGAGAATTACAAGTATATCAATAAATAGTAATAAATAATACCCATTGTACAAGAAGTGGCTATCGTTTGTCCGTGGCATAGTGGATAACACATTGCTGTTTGAATCGAAGTATATCCCGGTTCAAATCTCAGTGGGAACAACACTCACTTAGGTGGAGGTACATCTAGTTGACGAGTCCCAAATAAGACGAGACGCGCATCTTAGATTCTTCTGCTAGCTACAACCATTTAAATTATCGAAATATACTAGAACCTAAAATGAATACAACACATAAACTATTGAACTCATTACTCACTTCTTCCAATTCTTGTTTTGTATGCTCTTCATGTTTTCTTACGTCATCCATTGTCCAGCCATGCCATCTGTCTATCCAACAGAATACTTGACGATGGAAATTTGCAAACAACCGCCGTTCTTGCTATAGTAATAATAATAATAATAATAATAATAATAATAATAATAATAACAATAAAATGAATAGTGAAACAAATTATTTTTGCATCTATCTACTTATTTTTCCTGACAGAATGTTAGTTGAAACAAACCAGTCAGCTAATATCAACTTGGAACAGCATAACAAAGTTGTCACCTTCATCTTAGTACATCAAGATATAAATAAAAAAAATAGAGAAATGAGGAAGAAAATCATTAGAAGATAGGAAGAGAGGGTAAGACAATAACTAAATGCAACATGATGATTATGATCATGTATGGACTCATTTAAGCCATTGAGATAAACTCTGAGACGCATAATCCAGCGTCTCTAACCAGGAAGTTTACATTCTCCATCATGGCCTTGATCAACAATTAAAGAATTCATGAACTGATATATAACCATTTTTGACCGTTTTTTTCAACCTAAAATCACTTCAGTTAATATCATAGCGTCGAGGTAGACGGTAACTAAGTATATATAATACATATTCTGATAATGTGAGTTGGTGAATGTTTATAACCTCACCAACTGACTTACTTCTTTGACATAGAACTCACCAACGCCTAACTTCTCCATTAATAACATAGTGTGTCTGGAACTCAGCAAAAGTATGCATGTTCATGCATTAAACAATGAGCCACACACCTATTGCTGGAGAGCTAATAATACTACCTGTCAATCCAAACCATTGTGAGTAAAATGGTATTAAAATTCGTGACTAACTGGTTGAAAATCAACTGCATAAACTAGTAAGTCACAGTTCTTAGTAATAATGTGGTAATTCTAGGACAGCCTATGAAATGAAGACAATGGTAGTCGAACATCTGAACCTTTATCATTTTCCCTTTAATGGATATATTTCAGTCATTTAGTAAAGTGAATTACCGCGTACTACAACCCCACCTTTTAGTAGGTAATTGGATATCTTGGTGACACACACACACACACACACAGAGTAAAATTGTAAACTTATTGTCGTACATCCTAACATCAAAGGGCAAGTTAATACAGAGAAGTAGATATCAAAATCTATAAGAAGTACATAAATGGAAAAAGAATGGATAGGAATACACTGATATAATTCTTCAGACATAGAAGGAGAGAAAAAGCAAATGGATTCACCCATTTAATTAGCCTCAGCAATCAACATCCTTTTAAAATTCAACAGAATCTCACCAAAATGTCCAAAACTCTGAAGGTATATTGTAGGGATACTTAATTATGCCATGAACTGACTAAACATTATTGATCTAGCTAATCTGAAACTACTATCAAGTAAATTCCAGTCCATTTACAAGCATATATAGTTATTTATTAGTTAATAAACATTAAGGTGGATTACTATCTATTGATATGCTTGTTTTACTGCTAAGTAACTTAGCGTAATAACTATTTAGGCAATATCGACGCATCCGCATAAAAGCTCATGTGCCAATATACAGGTCGAACAATTCAATCCATTAAAACTGTGGAGAATTACAAGCATCTCAATAAATAGTAATAATTAATACCCGTTGTGCCTCACTGGTCTAGTGAATGACGCCTTAGCCTTTGAAGCGATGGGTACCCGGTTCGAGTCTTAGTGGGGATAACATCACTCACTGAAGTGCAGGTAAATCCAGCTGACAAAAGGAGTTCCAAATAGGATGGAACATGTGTCCTAGACTCCTCTGCTAGGTTGGGTTGTTTCAGAAAATTACCGACGTATTATAGCACAAACATATATGAAATAACTATAACCTCATAACAATACACAAATTCATCTGTGTTAAACTCCAAAAAGAGAGCAGTTCTATAATGACCAATAATAGTACACAAAAACAATAAAAAAGGGGTAGACCTCACCAAAATGTTTGCCAGATGAAATCTTAGAGAAATCCTTAGAGATATGCAGCTTTTGATGTTTAACATCCACAAAACTTCAGCAAGGAAATTTGCAGTCATCTATGTAGTTCACATGAACATTCGAACATTATTATTAGTCCCTTGGGTTCCTAATGGAACATAGGGCTTCAGTAGCACGTCTCCATTTCACTCTCTTCTTTGAAATCTTTTCAACCTCGCTCCACGACAGTCCACAAACTCTCATTTCCTCCCCCCTCACACCATCTCCTCCATGTCACCCTCACCTCACACGCCCAACTCGTAGCTTCCCATAGGGGTTCCACTCGAGTAACTGGCCTCACGCGTGATGTCCACAGTCGACTTTCTCAGTGTATGCCCAATCTATCTCCACTTCCCTCCAATGCATATTTGTTCAGCGACAGGTTCTTGCTTCGTTGGTTCGTTACCAGCCAGCCAGAGTTCCTTGTTGCTTTTTCTGACTATTCTGACCATCTGATATGATCTTCAGTAGCGAGCCAGCGTAAGCAGTTCTTGATGAATGTTTGTAGTTTATTCGAAATCCCTTTCGTAACGCACCGGCAAGTCTCTCAACCATCACATAGAAGCACTGACTTGACTGAGATTGGTGTTGAAAATCCGGATCTTGTTCACTCTCTGTGCTGAGTAGAGTGCAGAAGATCTCCACACTGGTTTCAGGCTAATCAACGCTTGTCTTGCTTTTCCGATCCTGGCTGGCTTTGACGTCCTCGTCTATGCCACCTGTAGTTGAAACAGTGCTGCCTAGAAAGTTGAAAGAGGCTACTTCCTTCAAGTTTCTCCCATTCATGGTGATGGTGATTGGAGTTTGTTGTTGTTGTTGGAGTTGTTGGTGCAGTATCTTCATCACTTCTGTCTTCTCTATATTCACTTGAAGTCCCGTCTTCCTTCACTGCCCTGCCTCGCATCTTCTGCCAACTTGTTAGTTTTCGTCTGTACATCTTCAAGTTTGTGTGACATCAGACACAAGTCATCGCTGGCGAAATCCAGATCTTCTAGGTTCTTTTCCCCGGTAAAGCCAGCGTATCCCCCTCTTCTCACAGCTCCCCACTGTTGTCTGCTGCATGATCCAGTCGACCACTATCAGGAATATCATGGAGGATAGTAGGTGGCAACCTTGTTTCATTCCTGTCTTCACTTCATCCCAAATGCATCACTGAGCTTCCCATTGTGAATTACTTGGCATGTGTCATCTTCATATACTTGTTGAATGAGGTTGATAAAGGTTTGTGGTATTCCGTGGTATTGAAGCAGTTTCCAAATTACCTCTCGGTCAACGTTGTCAAAGGCCTTCTCAAAGTCAATAAAGTTGAGGTAGAGGGTTGCCTGCCATTCTATACTCTGTTCTATGATGATGCGTAGAGTGGCATTGCAATTTGGTCGGCACATGATTTGTACTTCCTGAAGCCTGCCTGTTCCGGTTGTAGTTTTGAATCCAGCGCATCCTTTAGCCTCTCCAGGGTGATGCGACTTAATATTTTGCTTGCCTTGGGTGGACAGGAGAGTGATTCCTCGCCTGGTTAATTAGTTCACTAGTTACTAGCCCGTCCTAAACCCGGGTAAAGAGGGAAGGTTGGGCATAGGGCTAGCAACCCTACCCCGTGAAACAAATCTAACCGCTAAAGAAACTTCAAGGCACAAACGATTTATAAAAAATAATAACAAAATTATTCCTCTCTGGAATCGGAGAGGCGAAATGACGCCACCTGGTGAAAGCCTTCGGGAAGTCAATTGGCCGATGAAAGCGAAAGGAAACGTGGGGACATGGAATGCCTGCACGATGTTTGAACCCAGCAAGGCAGCCCAGATTGCAAACGAGATGAAGAGGTATTGGAACATTGAATCGATTTAATTTGGGGGGTTTGTGGGGATTTATTGATTTTTTTAAAGTTGGTATTCAATCAATAAATCCACACAAACCCCTAAATTAAATTAATCTAGTACTTACTTATTCGTGACTAGCTTCGAGAGGTGATTCCTGAAGTTTCAATAGGAAGTCGTAAACAGTGGAGTCAACTAAGTCAAGCATGAGGATAGTTAATCAACGACGATGGTCTTGGGTTCGACCGCACTCGGATGGAGTCAGTCATGGGTGCGCACTGGCTAAGGAGTCCGATACTAGAACGAAACAGTTATCCAGTGCTCTCAGGTTTCCAATGTTCCTTCAACTGATGTCAGTTTATGATGAATACCAACTTTTAAATAAAACTTCACCAGTTGATGAGATATTTTTTTATCCGATCATCATTAGGTACATTTAGATGGGTTTTAACTACAAATATCCCACATGATGGAGATTTACAATTATGCGTTTTTTTCTACTTGGTTACCTGATGCTTATATTGTTTATACTCCATTGTTTCGACATATGACCTAATGCATTTAGTTATCGAATTTTACAACCACAAAGTAGGAGACTAACAGTACTGATGTTTAATAGATGCAGTCAAAATGGCGCGGAATCATGCTCCACCGCTGTCCACACCAAGCAAAATATCAAACCGCATCATCCTGAAAAGACTAAAAAGTGCTATTCATTCAAAATTACGACCAGAACAGGCTTGCTGGTTGGCTGGCTTCAGGAAGAACAAATCATGTACGGATCAAACTGCAAAGCTAGGCTACGCATCACCATAGAACAGCAGTCAACGCTCTACCTCAACTTCATTGACTTTGAAAAGGCCTTCGATAGCGTCGACTGAGAAGTAATTTGTCAGGCAGCTGCTTTAACACAACAGTTTTACTACCACAAACCTTCATCAATCTCATTAAACAGTTATATGCTACACTATGTGATACATGATACATGCCATGTGGTTCAGAATGGAAAGCTCAGTGGTGCCTTTGAAGTGAAGATAGGAGTAAGGCAAGGTCGCCGCCTACCATCATCACCGATCATCTTCCTGATTGTGGTCGACTGGACTCGACTGGATTATGCAACAAACTGTGAGGAGCGTGAAGATGGGCATACGCTGTTTGATGGATGAAAAGATTCTATACGATTTGCATTTCGCCAGCGATGATAACTTATGTCTAATATATTGTAGCACAAACTCGAAAATCCACAGGCGAAAACTAATAAGTTGGCAGAAGAGGCGAGG